GAAGATATTTCAAGAATGAAGGATGCAAGAGCCTTGGAGTCTTGCGTTCAACATAGTTTTTAATGAATTTATTCTTCTGGAACTGTAGGGGAGCAGTGAAACCCCAGTTTCAAAAATCGCTTTTTCTGTTTACTAGGAAATATAAGCCTAGTATTGTAGTGATTCTAGAACCTCGGTGTAGTGGTCAAAAAGCTTCTGACATTATCCGAAAATCTGGGTTTAAGCATGCTTTTGTTCAAGAGGCAGAAGGTTACTCAGGGGGTATTTGGATCCTCTGGAATGATGAGACTGGTCTCATTGAAATTGTTAATCACACAAAACAGTTTGTTCATTTTAAAGTTCAGAATTTCCATGTTCCTTCCTTTTCTTGCACGGCAGTTTATGCGAGTCCTAGGGAAGAAAATAGAAAGGAGCTTTGGGATGATCTGCTAAACATTAGTCTCCATTGCAATGGGCCGTGGTTGGTGGCTGGGGATTTTAATTAAATAGCAAATCAGGATGAGAAGAAAGGTGGTTGTAGAGTTAACTTAAACCTGATCATAGTCCCATTTTGGTCTACTTGACTAACTTGGACACAGGTTGGAAAAATCGTCCCTTTCGCTTTGAGATTGCTTGGATGGAGCATTATAACTTTACTCAGTTTCTGGCTAGGAGCTGGAATGTTGTGAAAGACACTAGAACGAATCTGCATGATCTGACTCCAAATTTAAAAAGATGGAACAAGGTAGTCTTTGGCAACATTTTCAACAGGAAGACTAACCTATTGCATAGTATTGCAGAAATTCAGAATCATGTTGATTATCATACCAACTTATCTCTCCAATCTAGAGAAAAGGAGGTTAGGAAGGACCTTGATGCGGTTCTCATACAAGAAGAGATCTTATGGTTTCAAAAAGCCAGGGTGAAATGGATAAATGATGGGGATAGAAACACCAAATTCTATCACATTAAAACAGCTACTCGAAGAAGTTCGAATAGGATTCTTGAGTTAAAAAATTCTGATGGGATTTGGGTGAAGGAAGCTAGACAACTTCATCAATTGGTAACAGATTTCTATAGCAACTTGTTTAGTGAGGAAGTCCTTAATCGTGATTGGGTGAAAACAAAGACTACTTGGCCCCTTCTGCACGATCATCTGCTATCTAATCTGACTCGTAATCTTTCGGATGACGAAATTTCAAAAGCTGTTTTTAGTATCAACGGGTCAAAAGCTCCAGGGGAAGATGGTTTTCCAGCTGCCTTTTTTCATAAGAATTGGAGTCTTATTAAGACTAATGTTATTAAGGATGTTAACATGATGTTTCAGAATCCCAATCTGATTCACCTTGTGAACTCGACTCTTCTGGTCCTCATTCCAAAAGTAAAGAGACCTGAAAGTGCTAAGCAGCTCAGACCAATCTCTTTGTGCAATGTCATTTATAAAATCCTCAGTAAAATTCTGGTTAACAGAATGAAGCCCCTAATGGAAGAGATGGTGTCTCCCTTCCAAGCTAGTTTTGTTCCTAAACGACATATCCAGGACAACATCATCATCACCCAAGAGCTGATCCATTCAATGCGTAGAATGAGAGGAAGAAAATGTTTCATGGCAATTAAAATCGACTTGGAAAAGGCTTATGATATGTTAAATTGGGAGTTTGTTCGTAAAGTTTTCGATGAAATTCAAATCCCACACTGGTTCACAAATATTATCATGAATTGTATCAACTCTGATAAGGTCTCAGTGCTTTGGAATGGAGCCATTGCAGGTGACTTCCTTCCTGCAAGAGGAGTTCGTCAGGGTGATCCTTTATCTCCCTACATTTTTGTTCTAGCCATGGAAAAATTGTCTCATCTCATTCAAGATGCGGTTGACAATAAGAGATGGAAGCCAATCTCCGTGGGATCAAAAGGTCCTAAGATAGCCCATCTGATGTTTGCTGATGATTTGATGCTGTTTGCAGAAGCTTCTCTAGATCAAATCAAAGTTATAGTGGATTGCTTGGAGACTTTTAGTTCAATGTCTGGCCTAAAGATTAGTATTCAGAAATCTAGTATTTTTTTCTCGAAAAATACAGATGCTCACATTGCAGATGATATCACAAATGTGTGTGGCTTCAAGCAAACTCACAATATAGGGAGATATCTTGGGTCCATGATGAAACATGGTCGAGTAACCAAAGACCATTATGCTGATGTTGTTGCAAGAATTAGGCACAAGTTATTTGGTTGGAGTAACCAGGTCTTATCTTTCGCCGGTCGAATTACACTTTCCAACTCCGTTATTTCAGCAACTCCTATATTTCAAATGCAACACAGTCTGCTTCCTGTAGCCATTTGTGATGAAATAGAGAAGTTGCAGCGTGCCTTTATTTGGGGTGATAAAAATGGTCAAAGGAGATCTCATCTGGTTGCATGGGATAATATTTGCAAGCCTAAGAGCATGGGTGGATTAGGGGTGATTAACCTTCGTGTCCAAAATATGGCTTTCTTTCACAAGCTTGCATGGACGATACTTACTTCGCCCGATTCGTTGTGGGTTCGAGTTGTAACAAGTAAATATAAGAGAGGTTTGGATCTTCGGAGGGAAGTAAATCATAAAGCATATGACTCATACTTATGGAAAAATCTGTGTAGTGTTTGGCCATCTTTTCTTCAAGCAATGCAATGGGAGATTGGAGACGGTAATGATGCATTATTTTGGACAGACAATTGGTTGGGTTTAACTGAGTGTCTTGCCTCTCTGGCTACTCGTACTCCAACTGGTTTGGAGTTGAATCTCCCTGTTAGTGCCTTCGTGAACAGCAATACTGGTCAATGGAACTTTCCCTATATTCGTCAATATCTCAATGATCAAATTGTTGCAAGGATCCAAGCCGCTCTCATTCCTAGCGCATCGGATGGAAATGACCGCATTATTTGGAGAAATCAAAAGGTTGGCTGCTCTTTAGTTAAAACCGCGTATTATAACATGCTTGGTTTCCCTCTCATGCCGTTGAAAAATTCTTGGACTACCATATGGAAATGGCATGGGCCTCAACGTGTTAAATCTTGTATGTGGATCATAATGCATGGCCGCCTTCTTACTAAAGACCGCACATCTAGATGGAGTGGGGAATCTGGTCATTGTAAAATGTGTCCTGGTGAGTTGGAAACAAATCTCCATGTTCTAAGAGATTGTAAGCATGCTAGAAGTGTTTGGAATTCTATGATTTCAGCTAATCGGCAAAGCTTATTCTACAGCTTGGATCTTAGAGATTGGGTTGAAAATAATATCTCAAAAGCTTGGAATCAAAGTAGTTCAGATGATTGGCGTGATGTCTTTTTTATCTCTTGTTGGTTCATTTGGGGATGGAGGAACAAAAGTGTCCATGATACTAACTTCAAGCATCCAACCCATGGAACGCACATAATTGCTATGTATATAGAGGAAGTTCGTAACTGCATGGGTAGGAAGGCTATGGCTACTACTAGCATTCATCCAACTCGTATGAGTTTATGGAAACCTCCAAGGCTAAATTGGGTGAAGATTAATATTGATGGGGCAGTTGAAAGGAATACTGAGGTGGCTGCTTGTGGTGGGATTATCAGATCTGATGATGGCTCTTGGTTGGGAGGCTTTGAGTATCATATTGGTGCATGCACTCCTTTAATGGCAGAGCTTTGGGGAACTCTAAAAGGTCTGGAATTGGTTTGCCAACTGGGATTTAAGAAGGTGGAACTAGAAGGAGATGCTTCTGAAGTATTCTCTTTGCTTGCTGATTGCAATGCAGCTTGTCAGCCTCGTATAGTGGCTAAGATACAAGCTCTCATCGGTCAGGATTGGGAGGTAACGCTTTCTCATATTCCAAGAGAAGCTAATTCCTGTGCTGATTGGTTAGCCAAGTCTGCTCTTCACAAAGATACTGGATTCTGGAGTCATAGAGTTATGCCGTTTCACCTTGCTCAGTTATTTGATCACGATCTTCAGGGAATCTCCTCTTGTAGGGATATAGACCCTGGATAGTTATTTTTTGTTTCTAGTTGTTTGTTTGTTTTTGTTTGGGGTTTCGCCCCTTAATGTTATCAAAAAAAAAAAAAAAAAAAAAAAAAAAGGCCAATATGCAAACATCCACACAAAAAAAGAGGCCAATATACAATCAGCAAAACTGACACCCTTTCACACGCTTGACGACCCGAAGCATGTGAAACGCAAATCAATTATATACATATGTAAGTGATAACCCGAAATTATTGTCACCAATCAAATCAAGATACCAAACTTAGCCCGAAAAAATCAACACTTTGATGGAGAAAAATGATAATAAATGAAAGAAAAAGAAAGAAGAAAAAAGTTGTAAGGTCCCCAGAAGTTGCTTTGTCTGCTTTTTCTGACCTCGCTTCCAACCCATTTCAGTGTAATAATTCTGCAGCTTACTCTTCTCTGTGGCTCTGTGTCTCTCACAAATTCAAAGAAAACAAAACTTGAATACCCCTCCTTTATTTCTCACTTCCACACGCATATAAATCCATTTAAATGCTTTCGCTTCTACCTCTTTCTCTGTGTATGTAAAATCTTTGTTCCTATCAGAAGTGGTGCAGAAAATTGAGTCTCAGATCCCTATAAACACGCCGAAAACGATACATACAAGTGCCTACTCTTCAATCTCAAAAGCTATCCTCACCCTACCAAAGTCCCTTCTCAAAAGAAAAAAAGAAAAAAGAAAAAATTATAACATAGAGTGGTCCTCAACCTCAAGCTCAGCTTTTTACCTATATAACTCTGAAGTCTGAACCCGTTTTGCTTTTATATCACTTCACACCTGACAGTAAGTATTGAGTATTGATTGAAGAATTAGGAAATGCAAGAAGCAGGGTTGGGAATGATGAGTGGTGGAGAAGTGTCACCATCCGGCGACCACCACCACCACTATCACCACCGTCAAATGAAGGCCGAGATAGCCACTCATCCACTCTATGAGCAGCTTCTGGCTGCACATGTGTCCTGTCTCCGAGTGGCCACTCCGATTGATCAGTTGCCACTGATCGACGCTCAGTTATCACAGTGCCACCATCTCCTTCGCTCTTATGCCTCACAACATGTTCATTCCCTCTCACCACATCACCAACAAGACCTTGACAACTTCCTGGTACACACTTTGCTTTGCTTTCTTCACTTCCCATGTTTTATATATATATATAAAAAGGTTTGATGTTTGTTATGAGAGAAAATTATATGGATCTATTATTATTAATTTATTATTATTATTATTATTACTGCAGACACAATATTCGATAGTGTTGTGTACCTTCAAAGAACAACTTCAGCAACATGTCAGAGTCCATGCCGTGGAGGCTGTCATGGCGTGCCGTGATATTGAAAATACTTTACAAGCTCTAACAGGTACTCTCTGTCTACACCTTTCTTTGGTTCCTCTCTGTAGTGAATATTTCTGATTTTAATTTCTTCTCCAATCTTTTCATTTTCTTAACCTGATTTAATTATGTGACCAAGCGATTACTTGATCTATGATATCACTGGTATGTTAATTATAAGCAAATAATTTCATCAGGTAGAAAACTATTGCTAGCAAGCAAGAGATGCATTTTTCTTTTAGTTATTTCATTTTTTTTTTTTTTTGTCTTCAAACCGATTTTAGAAGAAAGGAAAGAAGGTGTATGATAGTATTTAGAGACTTTTTTTCTGGGGCAGTTTAGGATATTTTAAGGGGAGTGGGTGTGGAAGGGTCTACTACTAAGGTTGTGTATCTGTAGGAGTATACACAAAATGGAATATGAAGGGTTAGTTTGTTTGGTGAGGAATGATACTCTCTCCCACCATGGCAACAACCTCTAATGCCGTAATTGGTTATTTTTGTTCTAGGAATTGAACCGTCAAATTTTCCCTAAAAACCTTCATTATTGTGCCGAAAGTAGTATAATAAACTTTGCACTTTATGTGGATCCAGTTTGAACTCTTTCTTGAATGCGTATATCTTTGGGTTTACATTGAACACTAAGAACTTTTGCATACAAATAATGGTAGAAATAATCCCTAAATATTGGGGATTGGTACATTTTATTGATCAGCACAGCTCTAACCCGAAGATATTATAGAATAGTATAAAGAGTAAACACCTTTTTTGGTCCTTGACAATATCTACGAAATCCTTTTTAGTCCCTGGCAATTAAAAAGGACCAAATTGGTCCCTAAAATTATGAAAAAAGGGCCACATTAGTCCTTATGTCAACTCCTTCGTCACTAACGTGGCCCTTTTTATCTAATGTTAGGGACCAATTTGGTCCTTTTTTATTGTCAGGGACTAAAAAGAATTTCGTAAATATTGCCAGGAAACAAAAAGGATGTTTACTCTAGTATAAATCATTAAAAAGTTACTCACTCGAAACTTTGAGATGATTTTATATGGTATGAGAGCTTAGTCACCATAAAGTCACGAATTTGATCTCACTGCCCCATTTTTTAGTGAAATTAAATAAGTAAAACAAAAGAAAAAATTGTGCTTGTGCAATATTCATGCTTTAAACCCAAACGGCTCTTGTGTGAAGAATGTGTTAGAGAAGGTCTTCATCCAGAACCTTAAAGTTTTGGGTTGAAAAAGGGAGGTGGAGAAGGTCCGGAAAGACCTCACTTTGGGACATTTGGATCCCCTTGTTTACCAAGCAAGGTCGCACTGAGACTGAGAACACCAACGGAACACTCTCTTAACCCCACTGACCAGCTAGTGTGCAATGACGACCGGCCCGCAAGCTACTCGATTTTCTTTTCTTAGCTGCTCTGGATTCTATTCTAGATGCTACTTACTGAGATAGTTATTTACAAATTTCATATACGATTTTACTGCTATACTATATAAAAGTAATTTATCAATATGCTTTTTCATTGTTGCAATAAATGTTATCATGGGATTTCTAAGAAAGAAATCCCATTTTGAATTCAGAACAGATAATTGCGTGCAGAGCACAAGGGTCGCCACTCTATTTTCTGGCTAAGACTGACAGGTACAAAAATGCCGCTAAAGAACTGCATTAAAACAAAATGTTATATATAACATTCGATTATATATAAATTGTACGAAAAATGAATTGAATGTTATCCTTATAGAGCATCGAATGTTGAATGTTAGTTTTAACATTCGATGTAAATAAAAAAATGTAATGTCAATCAGAAAATAAAAAAAGATATTAAACTTTCGTTTGCTCTCTCTTTTCATTTTAACTAATATATTTTCACTAGTAATTACAAAAACGTCACGTTTTAATTTTATTTTCCATTTTTAGGAATTTGTTTGTTTTCATCATATTTTTTGCAAAATCATGAAAAAAATAAATACAATAAAAATAATATGACATTTTATGATATGTCCATGTATCTGAATTTTAGTATATAAGATTGTATCTACAACTTTTTCTTTCCAACTTCTAAAGGCATGCAACGACTGGGATCTCATGACTCTTCACAGTAATCCCTTTTTTTAACCAAGTTATAATCTTTTGTTATATTAATCTGTAGTTACATAACTTACATCAATAATTCATCCTTAATATTCAATTACCATTTAATGCTGATGATATTATATGATTATGTACTCAAATCTAGTTAATTAAGAAAAAAATGGAACACTCCTTTTTTCAAACTTTCTCAAATTCACTATCAGATTCGCTATTTATTATTCAGGAGTCAGTTTGGGAGAAGGAACAGGTGCAACAATGTCAGATGATGAAGATGATTTGCAGATGGATATGTCTTTAGATCAATACAGCGCAGACGGGCATGACATGATGGGATTTGGTCTTCCTACAGAATCTGAAAGGTCTTTGATGGAAAGAGTTCGTCAGGAACTAAAGATTGAGCTGAAACAGGTCATTTAAAGTCAATATGCTATTCGTGCAAGTGTGTCATTAACTGTTTTCGTTTTCTTTGCTTTGAATCACAAACAAGATTTAGTATCTCTACAGGGTTTTAAGTCAAGAATTGAAGATGTTAGGGAGGAAATATTACGGAAACGAAGAGCTGGGAAGTTACCAGGTGACACAACATCGGTTTTGAAAATCTGGTGGCAACAACATGCTAAGTGGCCATACCCAACTGTAAGTAAACCATCTTCTCATTGTGCAAGCCAATTAACTGATCATATCATCTGATGATATAAAACCTCTTCCTCAATAAGTTTAACGATGAATCTTTGTATTTTCAGGAAGATGACAAGGCAAAACTTGTGGAGGAGACAGGGTTGCAGCTGAAGCAAATTAATAATTGGTTCATCAATCAAAGGAAACGCAACTGGCACAGCAACTCTCAATCGGTTACCTCTCTGAAGTCCAAGCGCAAGAGGTAGAGAGATTTTGTTCCTAGCCTATATGGAACGGATAGTAACATATATGCATATGGATTTACTTTATGTTGATTGCTGACAGAGAGTATTCCCACTGAGGATTCTAGTCTGGTTCAGGAGACAGTAGTTGGTGCACTGTAACATAAGATAGCTTTAAAAAGTGCTGGTTGTAAATTCATGGATTTTAACATATTCAAACTTTTCTTCTAGCTGTGGTTGCCTCCATTACTTTCAAGTGTTTTTGTGAATTGTTTGCTATGTTTTGACTGGCTGAAGAAGAATTGATATTAAATTTAGCAGCTTAAGTTTCACCTGCATACATATCTATTATGTTTAATGTACTACTACGTAGTTTTGTTTTTAACTTGGATATTAGTTATGTTCACATGTTCCAACACATCCATCTTTTGGAGCAGAAAACTATAATTTCTGATCAGTAAGGATGCAAGCTTTTCTGAAAGCTTATGCTCTTTGAGATTTATTGTTGAAAGTGGCTATGAAACCCCAGCAATCGAACCTTTTGCAGAGCAACCAATGAATTTTAAGGACGAATCCGCTTAGGAAATAACTTTCTTTCTCCAGTCAGCAGTTACATATAAGATACTAATCAGATCTTTAAATGCCAAGACAGCCAAGGAAGCATAGAAAATCATTCATGAAGAAATACAGGGACCAGAAAGGTAAAAAAGACGTTTTGAGAATTTAAAGATGAATGATTCTGATTTTGTCGTGGACTTTTCTAAAAAGCAGGAAACTGATAGTCAAATGAGAAAGTACATTAAGGGGAGTTTGGCAGAGGAGAAATTTTTTTTATCCGAAAATCACGATTTCTAGGAATATGATGAGGAAATGAGTTTTCTGAGAATGTTACCAAAAAGTTGTTTGGTAGACTAACATATTCCCGGAAATATTGAGCTGATTTTCTTGATACTGTGTTTAATTGTATTAAATTAAATTTTTTCTTATCATAGAAATCTTAAAATACCACCTTTTGAATGGTATTCCTAATGGTTTTTTTAAAAAAATTTACACACAAAATAAAATTCCAGAAAAATTGGATTCCTGGGAAAATTTTGAAAATCTTGTACCAAACATGAATAAATAACTTTACCACTTTCAGTTTAAGGAGAATTCAAAAATAATCCTCGAAACAAACGGCCCCTAAGAAAAATGCAGATTACTTTACCAAGTAAGTTTGATCCTCTTTTTTTTTTTTGGAATAACCTCTTTTAGTTTCAATAAGCAACCTGAACTCTGAAGTTTTTGCTACAACTAGTGTGGCAAAAAGTGTTGGTTTTCTACAAGCCCATGAAGAAAACTGAACGTAGTGTAACCATCTATTTCATTCGCCGGAAAGAGAAGCGTTTCAGAGAAAGCCAAATCACAAAGTTAAAAATCCCCAAAACAATAAAAAATATGACGAGAGCTGGATATTCGTATTTCCGTCATGAGGAGTTTCTCAAAATTCAATCACCAGGAGAAAGATGGCTGTTTTATGAGAAGCTTCAGTGCAGATATGGTAATAAAAAAAAATTCACAAAAGAAAAAATTGTATATTCAAACAAGGACAGAGTGGAGCAAGGCTGGGCTTGACAGTGAACAGATAGGGTGTCGCGGACTTGGTGGGTTGGGTTGGGACTAGGGAGTGGGAGGGATGTCCTCCCTCAAAGTCAAAAACCACCACAGAGAGGCACGATGCAAGGTTAGGTATATCCTATGGTCATCCATTACGATCATACAGTTTCAGTGTCGCAATAATTATTTTATTGAATAAGAAGTGGATTAATAAAGAAAAGAGAAGAGGGAAGTCGAAGAGGTGTGTGGATTTTAACAAAGTCTCACGTTGGACAAATAGTAGGAAGTGTGAAAGTTTATAAGCTCTCATCTCACTCTCCTATATTGGCTACACATTTTGTGGAGGGGGAGGAGATAGGTGGGTTTTGGTCCACCACACGCGCGCGCACCCGCCGTCATATGTGTGTAATAAAAATAATTTATGAATAAGAAGTGGATTAATAAAGGAAAGAGAAGAGGGAAGTGAGAGAGTTTATAAGCTCCCACCTCACTCTCCTAGATTAGCCCTTTGGGTCCCTACACATTTTGTGGAGGGGGAGGAGCTAGGTGGGCTTTGGTCCACCACACGCCCGCCGTCGTATGTAATAAAAATAATTTTTTAATATTTTGTCCAAAAATGTATCCGTTGCTTCCTTCTAATTTCGAACCCAAACGTTTCTACCCGCCAGTTTTTTGAGCAATTTTGAACCGAACCGGTTCTTCCCTTTCGTGAATCGGTCACCAGTCGTGTCTGCTCGCAGAACCGGTCACCGGTTGTACCTGTTCGTCAGAACGGTCACATGTATCCGTTGCTTCCCTCCAAATTTCGAACCCAAACGTTTCTACCCGCCAGTTTTTTGAGCAATTTTGAATCGGTTCTTCCCATTCGTGAACTGGTCACCGGTCGTGTCTGCTCTCTGAACCGGTCACCGGTTGTACCTGCTCGTCAGAACGGTCACCGGTCGCACCCGTTCGTCGCCGTCAGACACGGCGATTCGCTGCCGACGACTGTTCATCATGACCGGCCAGCAGGGGTGGACCTACATGGGGGGCTAGTGGTGGCCCCCGCCCCCCTAAAAAATTATTCATTTAAAATTTTTGCATATAAAAAAACCAATTCAATGGCAGGTTGCAGCATTAGACTAGCGATGTACACATAATATATAAACAGTGCATGGTTAAGTGTATAACTTGATATAGCAAGCTTACGTTGTACAAAAGTAATAGCATTGTGAATGATTACATGATGTTGTAGTTATCAACGAATGGAGATTTTCCAATTTAAAGGAATACAAGGAGAGAAGTATTGAAGTGGAAAATGAAGCTTTTGATCGTTACATGTAGAATGTAGATTTACTAGAAGTATTTTAAATGGAAAAATGGAATTAGGTAGTATTGACTAGAAGCTTTTTACCTATTCATGACCGGTACAATTAGAACTAGGTAGTTAAAATAGAAAAATGTTTTAAAACTGAACTAGACCGGCTAGTTTTAGTGGTCGGACTTTGAATCGGTTATATTTTAGTTTGATTATTATTCAGTTTATATGAGATTTAACAAATTAAATAGCTAATTGAAATATGGTTTAATGTTGAAACATTGGCCAAAATGAATTGGAATGTCAATAGTTATTGAACATATGAGTTAATATAAATTTTTTCGCCCCCTGTAATAATAATTCATGGGTCTGCCACTGCCGGTCAGTGTCTATAAATAGACACTGACACCTTCAGAAAGTGGATCCAATTTTTCCTGCACTGAAATTCTGCCGGAATTTTTCTCCTTCCGGTTTGGCATTTTCCTTTTCATACTCCGGTGTGATTTCCTCTGGCATTCAGTTGTGTTCGTTTCGGCTGTTGACTGGTAGTGCCGCCACTCTTCAGACGAAATCTGTTCTATCCTAGGAGACAAGTGTCCATTAACCTTTGGCATCAGTGAGGGGGCAAATTGTCTTAAGGAGACACGTTCTGTGGGCTAAGATTTTATTTCTCTGATACTGCATTTTCCCATTCTTTTGATTCTGTTTGTTTCATACATATCAAGTAAGTCTGTTTTTAATTTTGATTATAATTGCACAGTGATAATTCTGATCATTTACCTCATCTGCTTTATACATGAATTTAAATATCTTAGTGATATAATACCACTCACTGTTTTCGATAACAAGGGGGAGGGATGTTTTCCCTCAAAGTCAAAAACCACCACAGAGAGGGACGATGCAAGGTTAGGTATATCCTATGGTCATCCATTACGATCATACAGTTTCAGTGTCGCAATAATTATTTTATTGAAGTTTTAAATTAGAATCTCATTCTCTATTAATCTTTGATAGTAATATATATTAAAGTTATTCCAATAAAAGTTGTCACATGCAATTTCTCCTAAATTTTCTTTTTTTTTAAAAAAAAATTTATTTTAATTAGAACTTCATTTTATTTTAATTTATTTTTTTATGACTTATATTATTTTTTTTCTCTTGTATCTTTTTGGACTTTTCATTTCTTTCAACCTTTCAAATTTTTTATTTAAAAAATATAATTTTTAAAACTAATGATCAAAATGTGTTAATTTAAATGAATTAGAATAATATTATTCATTCCATATATTAATCTTAAATAGAGAAAAATAGGATATAAATCAATAAAATATTCTCTAAATATTATTCTTTTACTTTGTGAATTCATTCTTTTAATTTTAATCTTAAAAATTTTAGTAAAAATATTTAAAAACTACTTACAATTTTATTTAATTTCTTTATATTAATATATTTTCTTTATAGATAATGTCATAGTTTGTATAAGATATAGAATAGTATAATAAATAGATATATTCCATAGTACAGGATGATTGAGGAAACAATTTGGGCGAGACAATGCTGACTGAGTTAGAACATTTTTTGGACTGGCCAGATGGTTTTACCTAGCCCGCCCAAATGACTATCCGGCAAGGTAACTCCATCTAACACGTGGAGAACATAATTTTCTTGTATACGTGTTCTCGCACACTATCATAGGGGCCACATAACTGAAAATGGTTATGGCATTATGCTTTGTGCATTTAGAGGGAATATCCTCCGCTCTAAATAAAGGGGTCTTTGTCTCTCCATCTTCTCCATTCAATTGTTATTGCTATTATTATTATTATGCTAATCGAGTCTAAAATACACATCCACTTTTGCCCTCAGCTAATCTAGAACTTGAATGGTGACTCTTCAAAGCTTTGATTCATACTACTGACTCTGTTTTCTCCATCATATTAACCGAAATTATTTCGGTGCTACCATCCCACTCTCCACTCAGTGGGACAAGCCAATCAAAATCCAACAGTGGATATGACATGTGTACGAAAGAGAGGAAAACAATTTTTAATTCAAATGTCATCAAATGAATGGAAGGCGCACATACTATCGTTGCACTGAAAGATCTATCCATATTAACATATTTCACCCTTAGAGGGTGTTTGGTACATGGATTTTTTTTGGGTTCTTGGAAAAGTGGGATGAGAAAAATTATTTTCTCACGTTTGGTAGGAGGAAAAGTAAAAAAAATCCCATGTAATTTTTTTCCCCGTGATTTTGTTTTACAATGCGGATTTCCACCGGAGAATACCATGGATGAGATGAAATTTTTTTTCCCATGGGATGGGAAACAAGTAGCTCATTTCTCAAACGAAAATACCTCCAACCACCATCGAGACCACCACGCTTCACCATAGACATCGCTGAACCACCATCTCCACAACATATCACCAGCCATAAACCCCAGCATCTCCTCTCACCCAGACTGCCGACCATGGCAACCACATCCCTCACCACCGCTAAGCTTCCACCGACAATCATGGAACCCCAGCCCACCTTCGCTCATTTCTTTTTCATTTTCATCTTCCTCTGAGTCCTCAACTAATCGACCCTTTACAGACCTCTCCTAAACCCAACCATCACTGGCCACCGCTTACCTCCACACGACTGACTATCAACCAACTCCTTCAATCGTTCATCAGATCCTCCTATTTTGCCTTTTGAATTAAAATTCCGCATACATTTATTCGCACTAGTGTTTTTTTTCTTTCTAATCGGGTTTCAAAAGTCAGATATTATAAGGTAAGTTTCATAAATTTTTCTCATATTTTCAGCAATATTTTATTATCAACCAAATATATACTCAAGAAAATTAATTAATATTCTTGGTAATATTTTGGCCTATCAAACAGCTTTTTTTCATAACATTCCCAAAAAAATTTATTTCCAATTATATTATCAATACAAAAATCATGATTATCGGATAATTTTTTTTTTTTACCGTATACCAAATGCCCATTAACAGAAACAGATGTCACTCATTTTCGGACTAGTTCAGGGAAATATTTTTTATGTTCCAAGACTACCGAATAATCTGGTGCTCCCTCTCACATCATCAATTTTTTCTTTCTCTTTTTACCCTTGTGATTTTTTTTCTTTTCCAATTTTATCCCTCCAATTACACTAAAGGACCACCAGAAAAATGGTGGTCCCGGTCGACTATAAATAATCTCCTAGTTTAGAACGGATCAAGTGTAGCTTGTGTTGGCAAATTGTTGACCTCACATAATCGTATAGAGCCTATTTCAGCTGCTTATTAACTCAAATTTTCTGTTCTTATTTATACAATTAGAATTTAAAATTATTAATTTTAAATATTTAGTTTGACTTTTTTTTTTTATCCATTGAAATAAAATATTGTTTGATTAATTTATATTAAAATGCTTAAATTAATTTTAATTCAAAGATTATTTATTACTTTAATTATATATTAACAGCATAAATAAGATGTTACTGTTACATAGCAATTTCTCCATTATTACTCAAATTTATTAAAAATAAAAAAGGGTAATTAAAAGCGGAATATTTTCTGTGCTCGTATAAGTGTGGAGCAGACAAGATTGAGAAAGAAGAGAAGAGGCAGAGATCTAGCATTTCCTTTCTCTCTTCTCTCTCTCCCTCTCTCTAGATATGGGGTTCCCAACCAACGGCGTCTCCACAGACAAGCCCCTCAAGTTCCTAATCTACGGGCGAACCGGCTGGATTGGTGGCATCGTTGGCACTCTCTGCCGAGCCCAGGGGATCGAATTCGCGTACGGGTCGGGTCGGCTGGAGAACCGGGCCTCGCTGGAAAACGACATAGCAGAGGTGAAGCCCACTCACGTGTTCAACGCCGCCGGAGTCACGGGCCGACCCAACGTGGATTGGTGCGAGTCTCACAAGGTTGAGACCATCAGAGCCAACGTGGTTGGGACCCTCACCCTCGCCGACGTGTGCCGCCAGAGTGGCCTCCTCCTCATCAACTACGCCACCGGCTGCATCTTCGAGTATGACTCCGCTCACCCACTCGGATCCGGAATCGGATTCAAAGAAGAAGACTCTCCCAATTTCACCGGTTCCTTCTACTCCAAAACCAAGGCCATGGTCTCTCTCTCTCTCTCTCTCTCTCTCTCTCTTGCTCCTTCGTTATTATAACATCCTTAATAGTCATTGATTTTGTCGGGTTTTCTTCGAATTTTTTAAGGTTGATGTTTTAGAATTTATGTTGAGAGATCTGTTGTTGTTTTACAGGTAGAAGATCTGCTGAGGAACTATGATAATGTATGTACGTTGAGAGTGAGGATGCCAATCTCATCTGATTTGTCGAACCCGCGCAATTTCATAACAAAGATCACTCGGTATGAGAAGGTTGTGGATATTCCTAATTCAATGACTATATTGGATGAACTCCTTCCCATCTCCATAGAGATGGCAAAGAGAAATCTCACTGGAATTTGGAACTTCACCAACCCTGGAGCGGTTAGCCACAATGAAATCTTACAGATGTATAGAGATTATGTTGACCCCAATTTCACTTGGAAGAACTTCACTCTTGAGGAACAGGCTAAGGTAATAGTTGCCCCCAGAAGCAACAATGAGCTTGATACAGCCAAATTGAAGAAGGAATTTCCAGAATTATTGTCTATCAAAGACTCCCTCATTCAGTATGTCTTCAAGCCAAATCAAAAGGCTGAAGCTTAAATTAATTATGAAGGTTCCCCAATTTTTAGCGTTATTATTGTCCTCATTGATTTCAGTGTGTGTAGAAGATGTCCATCTCCGTTCATATGCTTCGCTGGATGTATTCTATTTGTATTGACTCCGTGATTGAATAAATTAGTGGCTAGTTATTTATAAATTATGAAATTTTCGTATGCTGTACTTTTTTGTATGATTTTTAACTGCATTTGAGTTTGAGCCTGGAGCTCTTTCGGATTATAATGAGAGTGAACAAAATGATCCAATAGGACAAATACGAACCGTTTGGTTCATTTAAACGTAATGGATGAGTAATTAGGGATGACCGAAAGTATCACCACATTGTTTCAGCTTAATCTCTTGTAGTTCGCATCTCCTCGGATTAGTTGATTAATCAATAAACTGGAGAAATTTTAAAAAAATAAAATTGACCGAGTTAAAAGTTGAGAAGTTTATAATGGTTAGACACTGCATAGTCACCGAAGAGGGAACGTGTAAAGGAGAGATCCGTTCATATTTTATTTAATATGATATGCTCTGAATTAATGGTAATAAAGGAAGAAAAAAAAAATTACAAAATTATTGGTGTTGATTTACCTAAATATAATTGTGACATGACCAATATTATGTTAAATAAAACATGAAAGATCATATTTCCGCCAACCAATAAGCAACCCAGTAGTTAACATGAAAAGAAACCAACCCAGTAGCCAGTGGGAAGTGCCTGCACACCTTGGCTTAATGCTTATTAAGGTGAAGTCAACAATGTATTCAAACACTCGCGTGCATCCCCTCATACTCATATTTACATATTTCACCAAATTGTATTTTGCAGAGGCCATTATTCAAGTAAATAACACTGATTTATACTTGAGACTTTTTTTTTTGTCAACACTACTACGAGAGGACCCAGGTGTTCTCACGCCCCTTTTGGGTTTGGGCTAACCCTTGCTTGGACATGGGCTTGGAGCCTAGCCTAGCTACTAGGGTTTCTATTTAAGATTTGTATGACTTAAAACATTTCATCATTTCGGTGCAGAGAAGGTTGGGCTTAAGTTGTTTACAGTCTCCTAGGAATAAATGACGAGTTTAATTCCCGATGGGGCACCCGCCATATTTCCCCATACCCATCCAGTCTCTACTCACCGAAAAAAAGGACCAATTTCTCTTCCTATTGAACTCAAAATATGCCCTCTAATTTTGAAATTATGCTGGCTTTATTTTCTTTTCTTTTCACTTGCACATATTGACCGATGTATGATGTATCATGTATGTGTACGAAAAGAAATTAAAAAAAAAAAACTCTTTTTTAAAAAAATAATAATAATATAAAAACTCTTTTCTTTTCAGGAACGATATTGTAATTTACTGTTTTACTCGGATGATTCTGTGCTATCAACTATGGACGCCCTCCATCTCTGTTTCTCTTCTAAAGAAATAATTGATACGCTCCAAAACTTCCAATCTATTCTTGAGTCTTGGCAACGTAAATCCATGGCAGAAAAGTTGGGTTTATCAGAGTCCCAGAATCAGGCAATCAGCAATACTGTTTAATCCCAATTTGCCAGCTACTTATAACTTTCTTGTATGTTCATCATTCACACTAAATTATTCTTACAAAATTGTAAACAATTAATTACGAAAACTTTTTTTTTTTTTTATGAATTAAAAAACTTCTTTTTGTTTAAAAAATTCATCAATTTTGTGGTGACATCTATTTCACTTAAGTTGACATTTCAAACTTTTGTTGGTTTGTAAAAAAAAAAAATATATTTAAATAATATTATAATATTATTTAATTTATGTATATTTCATTTATGATATATTTCTATTTTATTTATACTAGCGTAAGATGTATAATTTTTTTTTTTTATAAATATAAGATAACATAGTAAATGAATTTTTGTTTAGTACATAATGTCTTTAAGGAAAATTTATCAAAATATAATTATGATGGGGTTAGAAAGTTTTTTTTAAAAAAAAAAATTAAACATTTTTTATATCTTAAAATAATTTAGTTAACATGTTAAAATAGATGTAATGTCTATTTTTATTTCTTTATGTATATAAAATTTAAAAAATATATATGTAAATATTATTACAAATAAAATAAAATCGAATAATATAAATCTTAAATCTTGATGATGAGTTTAAAACAGAGGGGGATGTAGCTACATTGGGTCTAAATGATGAGTTTGAAATATCATGAGTCTAGTGATACATAATGTAATCATAAAGGACGAAAATGAAGTTTACCCTAATTAAGTAGTAAACTTGTTTCTCTTGAGTGATTTTCATATAATTTTTTTTAAGACAATTGGTTGGAATCACTTCCTTATTAACTACTAATCATGCAGTGCTTGAGGATTAGTCTAACAATATCTGCGAGAATATCATGGGTTTCTGTGTAATTCACCTAATTCCAGCATTGCTCAAGTTAAAGAGGCCCACGAAGAGTTTCTTATATAAATATGCTTTTAAATTATTGGAATAGAGCATCACCTAAGAAGAGTCGTAGATGTTATAACTGGGCTATTGGGTAGTGAGTTTTTAGCTGGGCAAAATTTAGAGTGGAGTTTTTACTACCCAACAGATTAAAGACCAAGAATATAAGATTTGAGTAAACCAATATTGAGTTTTGTTTTGAAGTGATTTACTGATGAGAGAAGTCTCAAAAAAGGAATACAACCCAGCAATAGGACCCACTTTGATGCAGCTAAGGACCCATTAGAAACGTAGCATATCTTCCTGCCTAAATGCTCGTAAAGGAGTTGTCTGGCAATGCTCATCATATTTGTCACTTGTCATTGACTATTGTGTGTAACGAGTCATTATTTATTAACAATGCTTCCGTGCAAGACCAAAACGAGGAAAAAAAATATTGTCTGGGTGCGCTTGACTGCAGAATTTGGATATCCCTAGCATATATATTCTTTCTTTCTTTTTTTTTTTGGGAGAAATCCCTAGCATATATTCTTTATGCATAACTAAGGGTATATTGATCGATTTGTTATAAAATTTGATATTAAAGTTAGTTTATATTTAATGATAAAATTAAAATATAAAAATATACCTATTTTTATATTAAATAACAAAGGTAAAATATACATCAACTTTACATTAATATTTAAATCATAATAATAAATATACACAAAAATATAATAAAAGTTATTAAAATATAATTTAATATTTAAAAAATAAATCAATCAATGTATCTTTTATAGAGTTATTTGAGGAAGTAATTTTTAGTTCACTAAAATTTACAATTTACAATTTTACAAAATGATTCGTTCTTTCATATATTTTGGAATTAATTAGTATTTTTATGCGATATTAAAATAAACTTCCACACTTCGTATCGAACTAATTATATAATTTTAATGTTTTTATTATGAAATAAACAATAATTCTAAAAGCCATATAGTTACGTCATTATAAGTGAGAGAAATACATAAGCAATGGAGAAAATGGAGAAATTTTGAGAAAGAAAGTGAGTGATTTTTTTTAAACCTAAATTTTAAATAAAAAGTATTAAGTTGTGTCTTTCTCTCACTTAAAATGACACAATTATATGTTCTTTGAAATGACAAATATTTTCCCCAAAATAGCAATATAATAATTATAATACTTAATTATGACATTTTTAAATATGTAAATCAACTCAACCTATTGCAAACTAGCTCACGATCTAAATTAAGTCAAATTGAATAAATCAAGTTTTTTTTGGATGAGGGGGCTAAATAACCCAAACCCAAAAAAAAAGGACAACTGCATATATGGCAAAAGGCTGAATACACAAAGTTGACCTTGTTTTGCATGGACACATTCTTTGCCATCCAATCTGCATATGCATTGGACTCACGCAACGTGCGAAAGAAACGAATATCACAGTCTCTCTTGATGTGAGAAGCTGGATGATAATCATTAGTTTCGATTCCAAGTGTACATAATAACTTCACTAATCATTACATTAGTGGTGTCTCCTTCGACAATCAGTCATCGGAAACCCATCATCATCAATGGTTGGATAAAGATAAAGCTAAACTTTGATGGTTCTGTGAAGTTGTCCACCTCTCGAGTGAGCTATACGATGGTATCATGAAAAATGAAGAAGGTACCTGGATAAAAGGATTTTCTTGCGACATCGAACTTGTAACCCGCTTTAAGAAGAGCTATGAGTTGTGCTTAAAGGCGTTGAATTAGCTTTGAGTATGCGCCTGAAAACATTCAGAAATGGAAAAAAATGCTCAATAGTTCAGCACTAGAGAAAATAGTAATGTTGTATTCCAAGTTCAAACACCTCAGGCCCAAAATTCAGTAGTAGCAGCAGTAGTGACATCGAGCACAGATAATCTAAGAATAGAGAATAGGCTCGATGAGATGACCTCAACAGATAAGGCTTAATTTCCAACCTACTGCACCTCCACAGCAGCCACCAGCGCCGCAACAGCCTAGTAGTGGTCTTTCTTTGGAAGATTTGGTTAAACAACTTGCCAATAGTAATTTGCAATTCCAGCAGTGGACTAAGTCATCAATTCAGAACTTAGACTCAAAGCAATTAGCTACTTCTGTGAGTCAGACCCAACCTTATGGGCCAAGTTCTCTTCCTTCCCAGACAGTTCCAAATCTGAAGGGGAATGTCAGTGCTATATCCCTAAGGTCTGACAAGCAACTGGAAGATCCAAAGCAAGCTACAGATAAGGCTAGACCGTCATCAGATCAGTCTAAGAATAAGGAGGCTTTGAAACAAGGTGAAAATGAGTCTAAACCTGTCATTCCTCTACCTTTCCTTCAGAGAGTCGTTAAGTCCAAGAAATTGGCAGAAAAAGCACAAGAAAAGGAGATTCTTGACACATTCAGAAAAGTTGAATTGGACATTCCACTCTTGGATGCAATCCAGCAAATACCTAAGTATGCCAAGTTTCTGAAGGAGTTATGCACCAACAAGAGAGGCTAAAGGGAGACAAACAAGTGAGCGTGAGCCACAACGTCTCAGACCTCATCCAACCCATGCCTAAGAAGTGCCAAGATCTAAGGGCATTTACTATTCCTTGCATTATTGGAAATCGTAAATTTGATGATTGTATGTTAGATTTAGGTGCTGCAATTAATGTGATGCCTTAGTCTGTTTATAAATCTCTTGGTCTTGATCCCTTGCGTGCTACGGGTATTGTTGTCTAGTTAGCCAATAGGAGTAGTGTTCACCCTTCTGGGGTGATTGAAGATGTATTATTTAGGATGAATAATATGATTTTCTCTACTGATTTCTATATTTTAGGGATGGAAGGTGAGACTCATAGTAGTACAATCATACATGAGAGACCTTTCATGAAAACTGCTAGGACCAAAATATATGTGCATTCCGGCACTCTTTCCAAGGAGAATCTGATATCAATTTTGTTGATACTTTTGATTTGATTTGATTTTGGATCCTACTTTGCCTGTTGATATTTCTTCTGTTAATAATTGTGTTGTTGAGAGTTTTGTTTCAGACATAGCTAATGTGCATACTATGGAACTGGTGCAACCCACCAGACTTTTCCCATCCACCGAGCAGCCCCCTAAGCTAGAACTGAAGGTTCTACCGGATCACTTGAAGTATGCCTACATAGAGGAGAATGAGCAGCTGCTAGTCATTATAGCCAAAAACCTTCTTCTTGATAAAGAAGAGAAGCTGCTCAGCTTATTGATAGATATAAAAAGGCGATTGGTTGGACTTTAGCCGATCTTGTTGGTATTAGCCCTTCTATGTGCATGCATCGAATATCATTGGAAGAAGGCATTAAGCAAGTGCGACAACCCCAGAGGCGTCTGAACCCCCTCATTTTGGATGTGGTGAAGAAATAAATGACTAAGTTGTTACAAGCTGGCATCATTTACCCCATTTCTGATAGCCAATCTGTCAACCCAATTCAGTTAGTTCCTAAGAAGTCTGGCATAACTGTTGTAACCAACCAGAAAAATGAGTTAATCCCCTAAGAGCTCAGAATAGCTGGAGAGTTTGCATAAACTACCGGAAGCTCAACCAAGCCACCCGCAAAGATCACTACCCCTTACCATTTATTGATCAGATGTTGGAGCGGTTGGCTGGCAAGTCTTATTATTGCTTCTTGGATGGCTACTCCGGCTACTTCCAAATCCATATTGCACCTGAAGATCAAGAAAAGACCACCTTCACATGCCCCTTCGGAACATTTGCCTACAGACAGATGCCCTTCAGACTCTGTAATGTGCTGGGTACTTTTCAGCGGTGTAGGGTATGCATCTTTTTTGAATTTTTAGAGGATTGCATGGAAGTGTTTATGGATGATTTTACTGTTTATGGATCTTATTTTGATGCATGCTTGGATAGTATAGCCAGGATTTTGAGTAGATGCATTAAGACAAATCTTGTTTTAATTTTTGAAAAGTGTCATTTTATGGTTGAATCAGGTATAGTTTTGGGACACATAGTGTCTAGAAAGGGTATAGTGGTAGATCCTGCTAAGATGGATGTTATTACTGCTTTACCTTACCCTATATCTGTGCGGGAAGTTCATTCTTTTCTTAGTCATGCAGGATTCTATCGACTTTCATTCAGAGTTTCAACAAGATTGCCCTTCCCCTATCTAACCTTCTGTAGAAAGACACAAATTTTGAGTTTGGTGATAAGTGCAAGTCGGCTTTTGATCAATTGAAGCGGTGCCTGACCATTACTCCAGCGATCTATCCGCCATATTGGTCTCTTCCTTTCGAGCTGATGTGTGATGCCTCCAACTTTGTTGTTGGTGTTGCTCTTGTTCAACGGATTGATAAAGCCCCGCATGTTATTGCCTATGAGTCAAAAACCTTGGATTCTGCCCAGTCTAATTACACCGCCACTGAAAAAGAACTTCTGGCTATCTTTTTTGCACTTGATAAGTTTAGATCATATTTTCTTGATACTACAGTATTGTTTTTCCTAACCATGCATCCTTGAAGTTTCTTTTGAAGAAGGCAGATGCTAAGCTCAGGCTCAGTCGGTGGATGTTGTTGCTCCAAGAATTTGACATTGAGATTAAAGATAGGAGTGGACCAGAGAACTTAGTAGCTGATCACTTGAGCCGCGTCACTCACCTTATGGTTCCATTTCATGTTTCTTATGGTTTTACTTATATCTTGCTAGCTGTTGATTATTTATCTATATGGGTTGAGGCGAAAGCTTCTAGGACTAATGACTCTGCTGTAGTTGTAGATTTTGACAAATCTAACATTTTCTGCAGGTTTGGCATCCATAGAGCTATCATCAGTGACCAGGGCTCTCACTTTTGTAACCGAAGTATGAATGCTTTGCTACGAAAGTACATAGTGATTCACAAGGTTGCCACTAATTACCACCCTCAGACTAATGGTCAAGCTGAAGTCTCCAATAAAGAGATCAAGCAAATCCTCCAGAAGACTGTTAATTATAACTAGAAGAATTTGAGCAAGAGATTAGATGATACTTTATGGGCGTATCAGACTGCTTATAAGACTCCGATTGGAAGGTCTCCTTATCGGCTTGTCTTTGGTAAAGCATGTCACTTGTCAATTGAGTTGGAGCATCAGGCTTATTGGGCTATTAAGCAGTGCAACATGGATTCGATTCATTTAGGGGTAGAGCGGAAGCTACAACTACAAGAGTTAGAGGAGCTTTGACTGGATGCCTATGAGAGTTCGCGCTTATATAAGGAGAAAACAAAATTCCCGTCTAAAATTTATGCCTGGTAAACTTAGATCTAGATGGGATGGTCCTTTTGAGATTACTAATATTTTTCCTTATGGTGTAGTTGAGCTATGTGACAAACAAACTATGAAGACCTTCACTGTGAGTGGACACCGCCTCAAGCTTTTTCATGAGGGACCCCAGCAGCAGCCTGTGGAGGCAGTGCTCAGACTCACTAACGCCACTTCTCCTCCCTAAGGAGGACAGAGAGTTTTCCTTTACCTTTTCTTTTTCTTTATTTTAGTTTATTTAGTTTTGTCTGCAATTTTAATTTTCAATAAATATATTTTCTTTTTCTTCCTTATAATTGTTGAGTTATACATAGTGTGAACTTGGATATGTTGTTCTTGATGGATCATTCTAATTGGGCAGAGTTCTTGATTCTTAGAATAATTGACTTGGTAGTTGATATCATGATGCTAATTGCATTAGTTAGTATTGACCTTGTGAGAGTTTGAGCCTTTATGAATGGAATTTATCTTTTTGCCATTCTTTCTTTCATGTGTGCTTTTTCTCATGATTTTTGTTCTCAAGAACTTGCTCTTTTCTTTTTAAAACTACATTTTTCACTTGCATGCATAAACATGATAGAGGCCTTCTTTCTTTTATTTCTCTAATTTGGCCAAATAATCATCTCTTACATTACATTCCATTTGGTTAGACCCTTTGTACCTTTGTTATCTCATTCTTTTCTTATCCACATTACAAGTCTAAGTGTAAAACCATATAATCCTGCACTTTGGAAATTTATTGAGCATTGATTTCACCTTAGTTTCGTGTTTAAAGTGTGGGGGTTGTCCGAGACGTGCAACATTTTAAGTGTAGGGTGAGGAATTTTATTTCATGTCATTCATCACTAGGCATTGCATTTTTGTTTAGTTACTAAATTGTAAAAGAGAGAAATAAAAAGAGTGCTAAAAAAAATAAGCGCTGAAAAATAAATGATAAGAAAAGTAGCGCTAAAAAAAATAGAAAAGAAAAGCAATAAAAAAATAGAAAACAAAAACAAAAACAAAAAGAGAAATAATTGGTTAGTCTTTATTTTTTTTATTTTAGTTCTTCTTTTGTTTCTTTAATTTGGTTTTAACTAGTGCTCTTTAAATTTTCTTGGGTGCTTAGCCTCTTATTTCCATATTTTCCCATACTTTCACCCTAGCCTCAATACAACCTTGGAAAAACTCTTCTTGATTTTTGCATGCATGTGTTTTGAGTAGTGGAGAAGTAGAAATTGAGCAAGCCTATGGTAGGGCAATTTTCTCGAGTGAAACTTGAGTGATACACTCATTTACCCTATACACTTGAGAGATTGATTGAGAGCATTCCATAAGAGACCATCTTGTGTGATTAGCATTATTGAATGAGATTACTATGTTTTGTAATTTAAGATGAAGGAATTTCTATCTTAATTAGTTGATCTTTTGAAGCTTTTTGATCCTTGTTCATATTGTTGTATTCTTCGCAATTGTTAGAAAGCATTGGTTATCTTTTAGTCTTTTGCTTTGTTTTGTCATTCCTTTAGTTTTTGTTTCGAGTTTTAATTTTGCTCAAGAGTGCAAAAGGATAAGTGTAGGAAAATTTGATAATTGATATTTATCACACTTAATTGTTACTCTTGATTAGTTAATTTTGGATTGTTTAGTGTGAAAATAATGATTTTTGGGTTAAATTAGATGTTAAATTTTTAATTGGGTTTATTTTGATTTCATATTGAAAATTCAGATTTACGTTACTGCAGTATTTTGACCATAACTCATTCCATAGGTGTCCGATTGACTCCATTTTTGTTGCGTTTTGCAGCTAACTCAAAGGGCTACAAATGTTATGAGACATGAAAGCCTAGTTCAGACAATATGATGGTAGAAAAGTGATCCAAAGTTCGTCACGAGTTGCTGAAGTTTTAATAGTTAATTGGATTTAAGTTTGTAATTGGGAACCCAATGTTTATGAGGCCCAAATCCATTATTTACCTTTTATTTACTTTTATATTTTTTTTGTAAATATATTTACTTTTATATTAGGTCAGTATTTTAGAGCTTATATATAGGCATGATTAGAAAAATCATCAAATGTGGTGATTATTTTGCCTTTCATTTTATTATCCGTTTGTTAGGTGGGGGAGGGAAAGTAGGGAAGTTGTAGGTGGGAATAGAGTGTTAAAAGTATGGGCTTGTAAACTTCACAGCAAAATCATGTATAAATTTATATAGTAAAAAGCATCAATCAATGATTCGATTAACCCAAAGCATATTATCTTGACACAATTAAATTAAGGGTTTAATTTTCACTTTAGAGAATTTATCTGCAGTTTCAAAAAACAAATATGTTCTCCAAGTAGTACATAGTTGTAACTTGTAATCAGAAAATTGCTTTTTTCTTTCTCCTCCATCTCAGCCGACAATTCTGGAGAAAGAGAAAAGTTTTGCAGCTCTAAAAATATAATTATATACTTTCGGGAATACATAGTTATATTTTTAAAGCTGCAGACCATTTTCCCTTAAATTAATACAAATAAAACATAACAATGTTGGAGTTTAGATTATTATGTTTAATATTAAAAATAATCAATGTTAGATAATATTTTAAAAAATTATAAGAATTATTAACTTAAATTGATATAATTTATATAATATGAAGAAATTTTTAAATTGATATAATTTATTTTAAAATATATATTATAAAGACATCTTCAATTTAAATTATCATTAAATTAAAGAAAAAATAACACCAAAAAGCAAAGCTCTCTGCTACTACGTTTAAAATGCACTTCTATGTTTAAATTAGAAATACGCTACGTTTAAAGCACAAATACGCAAACGCACTGCTACGTTAAAAGTACTACTACGCACGCGTCAAACGCATCTGGTTCACTTGAAATCATCCGCTACGCTTGTAACGCAAATAGCCCGGCGCATGCTGCTGGCTTCACTTTCAAGACCAAACTCTCTCATTTCTCCTTGTTGACCGTGAGTTGATCCAAGGGGAGGGTTTTTTATCCTTTCAACTTCTCTTCTTTACTCATCTTATGTCTCTTTGCTAAAGTAAGAATCGTCTCTCTTTTCCTTTCAAGTTTTGCAAAAATCTAGGGTTTAAAATTTGTGGATTTTCAAAAATTGATGGTATATGGTTAAAAGAAAACGAAATGGCATCCAAAACGCTGGATAACAAACGCAAGCGAGATCAGAAGAAATGGCTTAAACCACCTTGCGAGGAAAAGAAGAGAAACTGGTTTGGTTTTACACTTTTTTTTAATCTGTAGTCGTTCATAGATCTGGCATACATGCAGTTAACTTTCAATTTTTCTAACTAATTGATGAGTTTTGTAAGTGAGATTGGATAATAGGGTGCCAATGTTGGTGTTGGATAATACCCTAAGAAGACATGTTTACAGTCTTTAGTACCATTTTTTGGCGCTTGAATGTCCAAAGTTAATTGCGTTGTAATTGCTATAAATAATTCTCTACAAAATGATACATAACTTTACCAATACTCTAATCTTGCTGACTTATGTGTAGCACTATATGCATCAAACTATTTATCTATATCTGTCATGATTTTTATCAGAAAAAAATATTATACATGTCATGATTCGTATTGAGGACTTCTGATTCTTTTGTATTTTTTTCTCAATCAATCCTGAAATTGTATTTTTCAGAACAGAACTCATTCTTGGATTGCTTTATCTTATAATATACTTGTTGAATGGAACTTGTGGTTGTAAAAGTACTCAGAAATTAAAACCCACCACTTCTAGAGAGTTTTGAATTTTGCAATATTTTCCCAAAATATTTTAGTTAGTGAAAATAAATTTGTGCGCGCATTATTTTTTTGGTGCTGCGTTGCGTGCGTGCTTTGTTGTTTTGGTTTTGCGCTTCTATTCAAAAGTTTTCCCTTGCGTATCAAACGGTTATATTGCGCATTGCCACCCATCGTTGTTGTGCCATTGCATATCATCATTCTCTTCAAAAGCTTTGTCTTAAAACAGATAAAACACTTGCATATCAAACGGTTATACTGCGTATGAGACGGTTATAATGCGCATTGCCACCTAATTTCTAGGATTTTCCTAAAATTTTCAGCTTTTTATGTAAGCCTTTTTTGAATTATTTTTGTTAAGATATTGGTTTGCTTTCTCTTTTAATTATATAAAATTAAATTGTTGAGCTGTTATTGTGGGAATGAATTGCAATATGCATACATATTCAGCTTTAATTCCTTTCTTGCATCAGAATTTTAGTGTTTGCCACTTACGCTTCTGTTGTTGGTTGATATTTTTTGAGTTTCAAGTATCTCTATTGGGAAGTGGACACGCGTTGGAAAATCCAAAGACAATGACAAACTTTCAAATTCCGAGATACATTTTAATCGATACAGGAATATTATGGAGGCTTCAAAATACAAAATTATTAAAGAAAGACAATTGAACGTAAAAGCAAATAAATTTTCTGAGATTCATGCAGTCATAGAGCGTAGATAGTGGAAACAACTATACCAAACACCTTGCCCAAGTTCCACTAAGGTGTGCAAGGAGTTTTATGCCAATGCATTCCTCCCCCCTAAAGAAGACCAAGACAAGCGCATGAGCTATGTTAGAGGGAAGTATGTAGCTTATGATCCAGACAGTATTGATCGAGCTCTTCAAATCAACATCCCTAAGTCAAATAGTGGTTGTGGGTATTACATCACTTTAGCAAGATTTGGAAAGGAGAATTTGGACAATATTCCAAAAGAGGTTGCAATTGTTCTTAAGGCCATTGCACTCCCATGCATAGGATGGAAATTCAGAAAAACTAGTCACATTTGGATAGTAGTAGTTGACTTAGCCTTCTGTCTATTCTAAAACCAGTTTTGAGAATAATTTTTAGAATATTTTGTTTTCCATTTGAGTCATTACTTAGCATCATGGTTTGTTTTTCATACCATCATTAAAGATGCAGTTGTAAACAATTGTTGTTAGCAATTCACTCTTGTTTAGAATTTTTCTATTCTAGACGCTACTGACTCTTTCAATAATGTTTTATGCAGGATCAAAATTTTTGTACCAAGTTAAATTGTAGGGGTAATAATAATCCCATTTTTTTAAAGGAACTTCAAAGGGTGTGGAAATTCGAGACTAATAGAAAGGACTTTGGCTTTGGTCCGACGACACATTATTAGTAGATGACTCCCCTGACAAGGTTGTGTATAATCCTGTAAGCTCTATTTTTCGTCCGTCAGACACATTATTTCCTCTCTTACACAACAAGTTTTCCCAATTATAACTATGTACTCCCGTGAATACATAGTTATAATTGGGTGACATGACATAACTTTCTTCCTACAACATTATACTTTTATTTCCCTTTTATTAATCCACATGTGCAAATTATTTTCAGTACCACAATTCAATATTTCCTCATTGTTATCACTATACTCAAATAGAAGACAAAGGACTAATATGTTTCTCAAATCCCAGAGTTGATATTCTTCTCTCATCTTGCACCTTTGCTGGGAGAAGTTGACAATAATTTTGGGCTTCATACAATTTTTGTAGGTAGCCCAAAATGAAACCTTAAATATGGACAAACTTCAACTTTGAAATCTGCATTCTTTTAGCAATTTAATAAACCTTGACATGACACTTGAAGTCCTTTGAGAAATTTTTTCTATTTTATTTTGCAACAAAATTTGGTTACCATGCTTCTGCATGATGCAGAGTGAGAAGTAACATGCCAGAAATCCTAATTGTTCATGTTCATCACGATAGCCTCCAATTAATAAAGCAATTTGCATTTAGGGAGGATGCAAAATATTTCAGTACGGACAGGGTAGTGTTCCCCTAAAGATTGTTAATCCCTTATATCAATTAAGCTTCAGCATTCACTTTTTAGTCTCAGTAACACGACCGGGGAACTTATATGAAAACATAAACAATAAAAAAATTCAGACTTTACACCTTGAATAATTTGGCAACATTACTTATGAAAAAAGTTTTGTTGCCCATATCGGAATCCAGGAATATTTCAACTCTAAAAACACATCTAAAACAATAACGAAAAACACAAATCCATCAAAATTGCTCCACATTCAACATACAGCTTCAATATCTTTCAGGCGCTGCAACAAACTGCAATCTAATCTGCTGTGCCACTCGTATCATCTTCTTCAGTCAACAACAACTTTTGGTTCTCCTGTTCCTCTGCAATGAAAAACACAAATCCATCAAAATTGCTCCACATTCATGCGAAGGCACACAAGTAATCAAACAAATGTGTAGTATTTACAAAATCAAACTACTAAGATACCGATGTTTAAAAACTCAAAAGAGCATTTCCCTTGTCCAACCAACTAGAATTGATAGATAAAGAATCTGCATACACAAGGCCATTAAAACTGTAACCAGCAGAAACAAAAGAAAAACCTATGAGATTTGAAATTGCTAACAATACTAGATTTCTGAGTAACATATCTTTACAAGATTCATATAGCCACCTAACTGGGGAAAAAAATAATCTAAAACACAATTTTGTTTTAAGATAGGATGTTGAAAGTCATTTAATTTATAGATTAAGTATGGAATAAGGTCGCCCCCTTCTATAGAAATGTCATTGACCATGATAAAATTAGTTAAGGCCAAAATGCACCTTTGCTCTTTTAAGTAAGTCTCAGCTGTCAATTTTAATTTTTATCCCTATACTTTTATTCGTTTATGTAACATCTAATGTTTTACATAAATGTCACCAATTTTGCCCCAAATACTAACTCTGTTTCAAAGACTAACATAAATTGCCTACATGACACACAAAAGACATCACAGTGGCAAGAACTCGATAGATGAACATTTGAGTCATCCTATTTGGCAAAAAAGATAATAAATATACTTCTATTATTCATACTTTCTTTATCTTCCCTAATTTCTATTATCTACGGCTCTGCCTAGTTTTGGAGACCAAACTAGTCTCTAATTCAATTTGGAACACTCATTAACCCACCATTTTGCTAAATATCTCAACCCGACAAGGATAAATAAATAATAGCCATAGTGAGCTAGAATAGTGATTCAAATATCACCAGTCAACTGCTTCTCATTCACGTGATTGTCACATAAACAATTTTTGTTAGTCCGTCAATAGGAATTGGCATTTTAAGATGAGATTTTATAAGACAGGACATAACCTAATTAATACAAATAAATGATGAAATTTGGATTTATCATCTGCACAGTTTGGCTGATGATTAGTAGACTTTGGAATCGTTGCAGATGAATTGTTGGAGTCTGCACTATCATTCTCTGCACTATCATTCTCCTCCTCCGAAGGACCACCATATCAAGAGTTAGGCTTTGAAGATGAACCGGCATTGTTTAGCAACAGTGGAACTCTGTTACCTGCCGGGTAACATGATTAAGACAAAAATTACTTATTAAATTCTCCTCATCCAATTTTCTTTTGGGTTTAATATTTTTTCGGAAATAATTTATCTGTTGTAATTACAAATTTAAAATGAAAAAGATAGATATAAAATCTGACATGCTCCTCCGTTTAAATATGTATGCTAAATTGCTAGTTTAATAGGCATATGATATGCATGATGACTAAAAAACCCCATGGGATAAAGCCTAGAAGTAATAAAAGTTGGGAGTGGGCCGGGGAAGCTGATTGGGGCCCACCACATAGAAACACGATTGTCGGTTCTGATCCAGGAGATGACACCTAAGTTTAGCCCCCACCATCAGTCCATGCACACATGACACAACATTTACATACAAAGAGTAGCGCGTGGACCCAGTGACTCACCAAATCCCATTACAAATGCAAATGGGATGGGACGTACCGGACACACGCCCGCTCGCTGGGACAATGAGCGTCTGCAGTATACAATGTGGCGGCTTTCAATTTTTTTGGTAGCGAGAGACCCCACCGAGTATTAAAGTATGGAACATGCCTCTAAAAATATATGAGCATCCATGACAAATTGAGCCAACTAAATGCTTGTGGGATACACTTATCATCACAAAAATTTATTATCCTTATAACTAAATTAATAATTGTTGAATCAAAATTAAATTTAATGACTCATAATCAATTTTTATAATCCTAATTTTTTTTATCTTTTTTCTCTCTCACCTTCACCTTCACCTTCTATGTAGATCTGACAATCTTTTCTTCATTTTCTTTAAATCTTCTAATTGTACATCACGTTCTCTCTAAATCTTCTAATTGTACATCACAGACTCATAAATTCCCCTCTCTCTCTGTATGTTAAAATTGTAGGTTTATTCCTATTTTATATTTAGTCCCTAAAGACAGAAGTTTAATTATGATGAATTTTGTAACTCTTCCACTCCCTAACAAATAGGTTGATACATTGAAAGACCATGTTCAATGATAGTAGTACACTGACTCAAATTTTAGTGATCAGTCAAAAAATATAAATCAAATTCAAATTGAAAATATTTGAACAAAATTTTGAACTTGGTCAAAAGTAGATTCAAGTAACCTCTGAAGTCCAGCATCTCTTCAATCAAACCCCCAAAAAATGGCAGAAAAAAAAAATCAAAAAAACCCAAATTTTTGAAAGAATCACCAGCCCACATAAGCAAACACGAAATTCTCGAAAATCCGTTAAAATGCACAGTAATCATGTCATAAGACAATCCTTCTCTGATTTAGAAGCATATAAACTAGAATAAAAATGATTATTTGTATTAAAAATTCAATTTTTTTAAGGATAGGATAGTGTAACAACCAAATAATGTTATTATCAATGTTACTACCAATCAATTTCATCGTTAGATCGATTATGTTGATCCAACGGTTATATTTATTTTTATCTTTGTATAGTTATGATTTCTCATATTTAATACTTTATATTTATTTCCACTTCGATATGTTTATGATTTCCCACATTTAATATTTAAATATAGGGAATCATAACCATACAAAGACAGAAATAAATATAACCGTTAGATTAACATAATCAATCTAACGGTGAAATGAATTGGTAATAACATTGATAGTAACACTACTTGATTGTTACAATATCCATCCGCATTTTTTTTATACTACAACCCCACAATTTTGTGAACAAGATGAGATAGGGGAGATTAGCAAAACCGAGCAGTGACTACTGGACGGAGGAAGAGAAAGGATGGAGAGAAAGTTATCAAAAAAATCTGAGAGAGAATAAAAGGATAAAAAATTAAAATAATATCGATATTTAAATTGATTGTAAAGATAGTAAACATTTGTTATGGTAAGGAACTAAGGATAACCCTCGTCAAATCCTTATTCTTTGATATCTAAAATTTTGAAATTCCTAAACATCCCATAATATTATTTGAATTTTAGAGGGTAGAAGAAATTGTTAGATATATATATATATATAGGGAAAAGTGTCTATACTTTTAAATTACACAACTTACATCCTTTCACTCTCACAAAGAGGTGGGACCCACAACTTTATTTTTTTTGTCAACTCTCTCTCCTCTTTTATCTATCTCTTTCTCTCTCTTAAAATGACACAACTTTACATCCTTCAAAATTATACACACTTTTCCCATATATATATATATATATTGTATAATACAGTATAGATACTTCGTTGGCATTTTAAAATATAAAAAGCATCAAGTGAAATGCTTTTTTGGGGAGAGCAGTCGTCGCCGGACATCTCCATTTCTAGGTGGACCACACTTTCCACTCCCCCCCCACCCCTCTCACCACACGTGTCGCACTTCCCACTCACGTGTCGTAAAAGGTCAAACTCTTCTCTCCGTAATCCGTACTCCTCCTCATCTCACTAACCCCCATCTTCTTCACCTACGTTTATCTGTTTCTGCCAATGCCATTACATAAATAACACAACACAACACAACACACAGCCCTTCCCTTTCTCTTTCTAATCCGTTCCGTTTTTTCAAAATGATTTATCATTCTGAAACGAAACCACTCAAGACTCATGACTCAACCCCATTCCTCACGGCCTATACGTCCGTACTCTGCAAAAGTTATCCCCAGCACCTCCGGACCCATACTTTATCATTTAATTTCCATTTCCAATGGATATTATTGATGATGTACGATATCACATTTTTCATACCTTTCACCCAAAACCGTAAAACGCAACTAACTATATATATACAGCAAGGAAGAGGTCAATTTTAATTTAAATTGGAACATAAATATAACCACCGAGTTAAAACTGGAATTGAAGATCCAAAAACAGCACAAATCACATTTATTCAAATTAAAAGAGAAATTATCAACACAAAAAGACACCTTTATTTTTTCATTGATTGGAAGCTTGCGTATGTTGAGTCTCAGTCCCAGACCGGCCCATGAATTGCAACTCTTGCTTATCGTAAATTTCCAACGAAAAATCCCTTAACATCTGAGCCTTGCTACCACCACTTGTAGTAGTACCGCTAGAACTAACACTGGGTGCCATGCTGGACTTCGTTGCCACCTTCGGCCCCATCGTGCTTGTACTCACTGCCGAGTTAGAAGTGTTACTGCAACCCGCCGTCACGGGCCAAACTTCTGGAATATTCGTTGATGCTACCAGTGGCGATATGGGCCTTGCCGCCATGTTAAACACGGGCGTCATGGATGGAGATAAAGCCCATATCTGAGGTTGCTGGTTTGACGAGCCCATAATTCCACCCAACTGGTTGGTGCTCGGAGGGATCATCCAGAACGTGTTTGTGGGGACCACCATGCTGGTGTTACCCACGGCCCAGACCGGCACCAGACCTTGTGGTACTGCCGATTGAACCGGGGCTAGACCGGACGACACCGAAACGGCGTCGTTTAGGTCCACGAACTCGCTGTTTGATGGCCGTTTACGCTTCTTGGTGTTTGCGGCGGCGGCGGCGGCTTTGTCGGCGGGGTTATGGTTTTCGCTCGACGACGTCGTTGGGATTTTTAGAGCTCCCCCGACTGAGACGGCGATGGCCGGAACGGTGCCGGTTCCGGTGGCTTCGATGATGGCTTGCTCTGCGTGTTCTAGAAGCCACCGGACGGTTTCGCCGTCGGACTTGTGGCCTAACTCTCGGGTCAGTTGAAAGATCCGAGCAGCGCAGGTGGCGGGTATTCGGATCCTGCGGCCACGACCCTCCACCTTGGTGTGGCGGTCCTTGGTGGAGGACCGCCTGGTCGCTTTGAGCGGGGTGGGCATGGATATTGGTATAGGCATCTGCATCGCCACCGGAACAACCCCTAATGGAACAGGGTGAGCCTTCGGGTTCGGGTCCGGGTCCGAATCGGTTGGCTCCTCCTTCAGCTGCAAAACTTGGTAGCTTGCGTTATCCTTGAATATGCAGTGTTTGGAGACTCCATTGATGTTGCTTTGAGATGAGTCTCTCTCCGGGTCGCCGTCGCTGGTGCTGAGGTCCGTCGTTCCTCCGTCGTCGTCTTGATCCATCTCATGCTCCTCCTGATACGACGTCATTTCACAGATACTGAAGATAATAGAATGGAGGAGAGAGCCCAACCCAACGGAAAGAATTGGAACCCCTTTTTTTTTTGTCAAAGAAAATAAAAAAATCTAGTAAATGTGTTTGGCTTCACTGAAATTCAAGGGAGAAGCCAGGAAGTTGCAACACAACAAAGGGAATGTTTATATAAACAATGCTTAATTGACTACACAGATAGAAAAGATGATATTTACGTGTTTGTCATGGTAAAGTTTCTACTTTTTAATATGGGTTAAATTATATTTATAAATTTTTCATTAATAAATTTAATTATGTACTGAAAGTAATATATGAGTGGATTTATGCATGGCAGTTAAAATCTTGATTTAAATTTGTGATTTTATAATTTTATGATTTTTTTTAATCAAAACGATTTTATCAAAATTCCAAATGCTTTTACGATTTTATAATTTTTTACGATTTTTGTTACATTAAAATTTTACGATTTATAATTTTTTATCTTCCTTTCGATTTTAGATAAAATCTCGATTTTAATTATCATGAATTTATGTATTACCTTTAATATATAGTTAAGTTTATAAAAATTCGTAAACAAAATATTTATAAATATTATTTTTTTAATATTATTATGTAATGATATTGTTAGTTGAACAAATTTTTTATTATTATTATGGTTTGATAATTTGTTGTATTTATTATATTAAAACATTTATTACTTGTTTATAGCATTATACTTTGTTAATAATGAAATTTGGAGGGAGGGGGTGGGGAGTGGGGCGAGGGATAAATATACAGACAAGTTGGAAACTTATCCATATCATCAGACGATTATAATTTGATCAAATAGGTTAGTGTACATTATGGGTGCCACGTGTTGATACCTGCTTGGTGGGCTCGACCATTTGTATCCACTCCTATTCGGTGGACCACTGGGTATAGAGAGGATGATGTCAGAGAGACCGAGAAAAGTTTGGCTTCCTGGCTTAATAAATGATTTTCATCGGCAGGCACCACCAATTTATAGTGGTCCTAACAAAAGTATAAAATTTTATGAAAAGATGTTCTACTTTACTCTTTAGCAGGGATTTATAGCATTTTAGAGTTATATTTATAAATTTTTTATGGGTTTTATAAGAGTTATGTAATAGAAAAAGTGATTCTATAATGTTATAGAGATTCATTTTGCGTGCCTTAGTTTTTTTTTTTTTGCTTTAAAATGTGCGGACCCCACAAAATATTTTATGTGTAGGAAATTTTTTTGTGTCATGTTAAAGAACAAAACGAAAACCCATTTTTTATTTATAAATTCTTATAAACTACATTATGTACTTTTAAAATTATATTAAGTTATACTATGTACTTTCAGAAATATATAGTGTAATTTGTAAAAATTTATAAAAAAAAATTTATAAACGAATTATTTCTCTTGAATTGTAGGTTACAATCATAGTTTGAACTAATCGAGAAGTAATTTTTTCCCCTTCTACGTAAAGTATAATTTAAGACTCAAAATTATGTTTAAGATGAAGGTTATATTTACAACCTATTTTCGTTTACAACTTTTTACAACCATATCTTAAGGGTTGATTTTCGCCAAACAATGATTATCATTTATTAAAAATTAATAATTAATTAATGAATTTGATTTGCCAATAAACATAATATAATTATAGTTTTATTAATCACATTACTTTTAAATGGAATTTAGCTTAGGTGTATTAACTATGGAAAATTATACTCTTATATGGCATAAAATTCACCTCTCATGTTACACTGACATAAAAATATATGTCTCTTTATTTTATTTTTTAAATAATGGACCCCATATTATTTATCTGTCAACATAAGATAATTTTTCTCAGAGAAGTAAAGCACGTAAACTATAGCCTAAACATGCTATTATGAGTTAGGGCAATGCTTTTCTCATGCTATGAGATAGTATTATCTCATGTAGAGACATAATTGAGTGGGTTCCACGGTTAAAAGAAAAGAAAAAAGAAAGAAAAAATGCTGGCTTGAATTGCGATGTGTCTGTGACATGAGATAAATTTTTTTATGTAACTTGAGAAAAATATTTATCTATGAGTTATGCGCAAATTCAAATTATTGTGCAACAACATGGTTTTCTTGGTTCTTTGGTTTCAGTACCTTTGCCTTTGCTCTTTACATCCGAAGCAGAAGTTTTGATCAGTTTTAGTTTGGATCATTCCTATTCGTGAAAACTTGAAAGATGAGGGTTAAACAACACTCACAAAAAAGCAGGGACACAAAATATAAAATAAACACTTGGAAATTTCTATTTTTTTTTCCAATCCTGACAAATCAACTGAATGTACATTTAGGGGTGTGTGGTGTTGGGTATGACTCATACTTCACATGCTGATGAGGGCCCTAATTATCGGGGTCAGCAGAAAGGCAACTGGGGTCCGGGGATCAGGGAGAGCCGCCCCAGCGGGGGTCTGGGGGGCAGCACCCCCAAGCCCGTAGAGGCTAGGTACTGTTGTGGGCCTCTATTTTATTGTAATTTTCTTAACAGTTTGGGCTTGGGCCCATGAATAGTTGTTGTTAGGGTTTTGTAATCTTATTTATATTTGCATTGTAAACCGAGAGATTTGTAACGAGTCGGTGAGGTGAATATAATACAGACAAGCTGGACGTAGCCTATATTGGGTGAACCAGGGTAAATCGCTGTGTCTAATCTCTCTACTCTTATCTCTTTTTCTGTTTTCTCGATTCTGTGTGATTGTCGATTTCCAACGTTTGGCAACTTTAAAAAATCAGTTTTTAAAATATATCAGTGATAATCATACACCAAATATCTAAAAACCAGGTGCATTATATTTCTATATCTGGTTTTTGAATATTGTCAAACACTCCATAATAACTTAAACTTTCGTTCTTAGATGATCTTTATGGTGTTAACTTTTTTAGGAGTCTTCATAATCTCTAAGGAGCTTTAGCCCCTCCCATATATGTATACATATAAAAATAAAAAAAATAGTTGTTTCTTTGTGTAAAAGTTAGTTGCAAAAAATATTTTTAGTAATATGAGATACAACTTAAATAAAATACAAGTATTGTAACTATCTTAACTACATAGTTAGCAAAATATAGCTTAATCAATCCTTAAAACTTTAAACCTGCACGACAAAAGGAAAATACGCAAAATATAGAGATAAAAATACCACTTAGATATTGGACATGGTTCAAGGTTGTGGTATGAGTATTTCACTTTAAGACAAATCACACCCTTACAAGTCATAAACGGTATTCAGGTGCAGTGGGTCAAGGTGCATAGAGCTCAATAATCGTATTGTTCATCTCCGTACTTTTATCCAGTGTTTTAAAATTTCACTCTGTCCTCTGGGTTGACCCGGGTCAACCCTGACTCCTTCTCTCTAAGGGTTGGGGTCACAAGTTAGATCCTATATGCATATCGACCCTTCGGATCCCTAAAACCCAGTCGAGTTTCCGTGATTCCCGGGTTAGAGGGGTCAAAGGGAGTCATTGCATGTTTTTATTTTAAAAAAAAAATCCATGAAACAATATCATTTTATTAAACAAATAAAATAAAAATACTTGGAAACCTAAATCTAATCGTTATCTTCTCTCCCAGTGACCTAGATGTCTTCAATCTTCAACTCGCTGCCGTGAATCTTCTAGAAAAGGTAAGAATTTTACCCATTCAAATGAAATCCTTACGGTCGTCGATGGAAAACAAAAACTCATTCTTACTTCCTTTAAATTTTCTATTGTCAGGAACCTTCTCAAAAGAGGCAGAATCGGCGTAGTGACCCCATTAGGATATGAGTTTTGTACTTTGGTCTCTTGATACTTTAATTAGGTTGCGTAATATTGACTTGTGATTGTAATTGGTGAATTATGTTAAGTATATTTTGAATCTTTGATGATTGGTGGTTTACTTTTTAATATTTTCATATAGGATATATATTTATATTTTTTTAATATATAAAACCGGGTCAGCGTAGTGATCCCATGACCCCCGGTTGAACCCGTGACCCCTGACCTCGACCGGATCGATGGTGTCCTAACACTGCTTTTATTATCTTATTCTTTTTTGAAAAACAACAACAGAACAAGCTAACAAGCTACTTTAGGTGTCCTAACACCCATACTATCCTTACAAATTAAATTATTGCACCCCAAATGAGGGGTCAAAAGCAACTAGACATTCCTTTCAATAGACAGAGCTTTGTGTGTCATCCAATCAGCCACAACATTTCCTTCCCTTAGAGTACGCTTAATCTGCACAGACCAGTTCCTCTCAAGAAGATCACGCACTGTGATTCCAATATGAGCTTGAGGATGATTATGTTGACCATCTTGACTCTATAAACTTCAGAACTTGGGTAGAGTCACCTTCAATAATGATGCTTCGAAAACCTTAATCCCAGGCAACAGTAAGACCCACAAGGATGCTCTATAATTCCGCTCTTGAATGAATTTCCCTGCCCTAGATTTTTTGCAAATCCTACTATCCAATCTCCATTACAATTCCTTATCACACCACCACAACCGTATTTTAAGTTGCCATTTGAACTAGCTCCATCAACATTCATTTTCATCCAGCCAGCCAAAGAAAGATTCCATTTGATCACTTGGTTTTGGGTTGTATTTTGCTGAAGACCACCTTTCAGTAGTAAACCTTTCGCAACAATAAAGTTCTCATAATGACCAAGAATGAATCTGACACTTCTCTGAATATCCGGTTTTACCCCATTAAAAATGAAGTCGTTTCTTTCCCTCCATAAGCACCAACAAGTCACGCCAAAAAGGAGAGGCCAACTTCTGTTTTGTGCCATTGTTGCGAAATTGACAAGTATACCGTTCGTTTCAAGTAATAAAATGATAAGTAACATATCGTTCCCTCGAGGATTAATGCACCAAAGACTAATTTTTAACTATTCCCCTTTTTAATTGAAAAAGAAAATTGGTTTGATTGTGAAAGTGATTGTTTGTTGTAATTTAAAAACAGAATTTTAAAAACAATAATATTTAAAAGCACGCAAGAGTTATCAAGAATATCAAGGAAATATGAGAGTTATGAAAAATTATAAAAGAACTGTAGCCATGATGCACTTCACCTCCGATCCTCCCTTATATTCCTAAATTGTATTTTATA